GAGGAGGAGGAGGAGGAGGCAGAGGCAGAGGCAAAGGCAGAGGCAGAGGCAGAGGCAGAGGCAGAGGCAGAGGCAGAGGCAGAGGAGGAGGAGGAGGAGGAGGAGGAGGAGGAGGAGGAGGAGGAGGAGGCAGCACGACGATCGTAGGGATACGGCGCTCGAGGTATGGGCGCACGCTGCTCCGGGAGGTGGGCATCGTGCCGGCGGAGGCCCCCGAGGCGCCAGAGGAGGGCGCGCCGCCGAGGACAAGCGCGGGGCGGCGGACGCTGCAGGGGCGGTGGGGCCCGGCCCTCACGGCCTCTTCGGCCTCCTCCTTGTGCTCCTCGTGCTCCTCCCCCTCCCTTCTTCTTTTCAGACCGCAGCCACTGTGCTCTCAGAGCTTGGAACCGCCTTTCCTGCACAGTCCCTTCCCTCTTCTCCTCTCCTCCGCTCGTCTCCTCTCCTCCCCGTCCTCGCCGTCGAGGCAAACACGCACCGCGCTGAGCTCGGCTTCCTCCGCTGCCTCCTGGGCGCGGCCAGGGGGTCCAGGGCTGGTCAGGTCCAGCCCTGGCCCCCTGCTGACCAACCTGTCATCCCTGCGTCGCTGATGTTGCAACAAATCCTCCCTCCTCCTACTCCCCTCCTACTCCTCCTCGTCCTCCTACTGCTGCTCCTCCTCCCTCTCCTCCTCCTCCTCCTCCTCTTCTTCCTCCTCCTCCTCCTCCTCCTCCTCCTCCCCTCCTCCTCCTCCTCCTCCCTCCTCTCCTCCTCCTCCTCCTCCTCCTCCTCCTCTCCTCCTTCTCCTCCTCCTCCTCCTCCTCCTCCTCCTCCTCCTCCTCCTCCTCCTCCTTCCTCCTCCTCCTCCTCCCTCCTCCTCCTCCTCCTCCTCCTCCTCCCCCCCCCCCTTCCCCCTTGTCTTTCCCTGCTTCTTCCTCTCCTTCTGCTCATCCTCTGGGCTGCGTGGCGGGGTTCGCGCGGGTCGCGCGTTGCCAGGCTGCGCGCTGGGTTGCGCGGTGGTTTGCGCGGGGGATTGCGCATTCCATGGATTTGTGGATGAAGACCAATGGAGAGGAAGTATGTTGCCAAATACTTTCCAGAGGTCTCAACATGTTTCAAGCATCCTGGAACACGTAGAAAAGGTTTCACATCATTTTCAGAACATGGTTCAAACAAACATTTTAAACACACTTGCGATTGTAATTCAATGATGTGATTATTAGGGTGTCCATTGTCATGGGATCCACAACCATAGAGTGCATCCCAGCGCCTTGTACCGCGCAAACTGCACGCATATGCTGCACGCAGCAGTCTGCGCCCATTATATGTGGCACCACGCAGGCTGCGTCGTATGTGGTGCACCCCGTGTGTTGCAACCCGGGTTCTGCACAGGGTCACTGTCCGGGCCCCACGCGCCAGTATCAGGATGCTCTTCGACTCCTGCCGCCTTAGAACCGCCGATGGTCTAGACGGCTTTCGAGGAGCCGTGTGGTGTGGTAGAAGGGCGCGACGCACGTGCCGATCCGCGCCGATGTGTCGATCGATTCGACGCCGACCGATCCTGCCTGCCCTCGGGTCGGACGGAAGGGGGTGGGTGGGAAGAGGGGGGGCCAGGAGGTCGGGTGCGTGCAACTGGCTTCGGCCCCGCCGCGGGGCGCTTCTCGGCAGTGCCCTGGAGCCCACGTCGCCGAAAGGCGCCTAGCAAACCAGCCACGTGAGCTTCTGCTACCCCCCTCCGGTTTAATTCCGCCCTCCTTTCTCGGTGGCAGCTCATGAGGTCGTGGGCCTGGTATGTCCTCTCCATTCCAGCTTTCGGCGTCGATCAGGGTCGACCAACGTCTGGGAGTCGATGAGACAGCGCCGACTTAGCGTCGGTCAGCGTCGATCTGGCGTCGATCTGGCGTCGATGCAGCGCCGATTCGCAAGAGCCGGCCGACGAGATGGTATGGGAGGCTCCCACGAGTTGCCGCCGAGCCTCTTCGTCCGACCCGGAGGGCGCGGCGGCGGCCTCCGCGCGGGGTGTTCAGGGAGGCCTTCTCCCTCGGCGTGTGCCCTCGCCCTCGCCGGAAGCTGGCGGAGGGCGGTGCGAAGCCTCGACGGCTCGAGACGTCCACTGACGCAGGAGTCGGTCGTGCCTGGTCGCAAGTCCTGGCCAGTTCAGCACCTGCCCCGTTGGCCCGCGATGGCCGCCACTGGCGCTCCGCGGCGGGGCGAGTGACGTTCTGGACTACTGTGAGGCGAGCGTCCGTGGGCTGCCCGACCCGCGAAGACGGCGGAGCTGGTGCTGTTTCCACTGGAGCTGCTGGAAGAAGGGCGTAACGGCCATGCGCGGCAAGCGAACCCCAAGGCGAGCGGTACGGCTCGCATTGGTGGCGGGGACGGCCTGGCATCACGGAGTGCGATCAAAGCGTGCCGCGGCCGCGCGGCTGGTTCCCACGGCGACGCTGAACAGTGTAGCGCAGCTGCCTCCACCGCCAGGTGAAGTACACAAGAGAGAACATCGCGAGTCCACCCAGAGGAGAACGGCTCGTACCTTGAAGATACGGAGCTTCAACGCCGAATCCCTACGGGTGGTCGGCCGCCTCGACGAGCTGCTGCGGCTCGCCGAGAACGAGACCGTGGCCATCTTTACCATGCAAAGCACCCATATGGACCTCGGCATGACATGGAAAACGGGACAGTTCGAGGTGCTTTCCCTGGCGCGCTCAGGGAAGGGCCAGCGCGACGGCTGCCTCATCGCCACCAACATGACGCACTTCAAGAGCTTCGAGGTCCGCTGTGAACAAGTATGGATGCAGGGGCGGATTCACGGCATTCGCCTCCGCAGCTCCCACAGCGCCTGCTACGGGCTAGACATCTACACCATGAGCGGCTATGCTCCCACTAATGAGCCAGGTCGACCTCCCCAGGGCGCTGATCCTAATGCTCTCCGTTACGCCCATCTGGCCCTGCGGGAAGCGCTCTGGCAGGCATGCCGCAAAGCCATCGGTCAGGTCCCTGCGCGCGCTGCTTTGGTCCGCGCGCTGGACGCCAACGCCCATTTACCCCCTCATCTTCCATTGGTAGGCTACGCTGGTGCGAGCCATAAGATCCCAACCATCAGCGACACTGGGCACTCGCCGATTGACCTGATGGAGGATCACGGCCTCCTGGCGCTCAATACTTCCGGCAGCACAAAGAGATGCAACGGCGCGTGGCGCAGCCCCATCGGCTCCCGGACGGACCACTATCGACTACGTCATCGTGCGGCGTCAGGGTGGGCATGGCCATTTGTCTCGACCCGTACCCCACTTGCCAGTCATTCTCGGAGGCTATCGGGACCACCGCCCGCTGGAGACGCGTATCTTCGCGGGCATTCGGGCCCGCCCGCGGCAGGAAGGACGACGCCGCTGGAGACGTGAACTTCTCCTGATGGACCTCGAGCGACTCGAACAAGCTCGAGGCGACGACGAACAGGGATCACATCTGCCTGCCCGAAGACGTGAATTTCATCAGAGAGTCAGGGGGGGCCTTGAGGAGATGCGACTCCATGCGGACTGGCAAGACATCTGGGGCAGCGGCAAGCTCTACGACGCACCGTCGGTCTGCTTCCTGAGCTGGAGGGAGTTGTGGTGAATGCGGCGCTTGCCGCTTGCATCGCCCCCCCCTCCCGCGGCAGCGTGAACGCTTCGGCTTGCCAGGGCGATCAGGAGTGAGAAGCGCCAGCGAACGGTGGCGCCCGCGGAGCTCGCCGAGCAGGCAGCTGGCCAAACCAACCTGAGGAAGCTCCACGCCACCGCAAGAAAGGTAGCCCCCGAAGCGCCAGAGCCAATGATGACAGGCAACGACCCAGCCACTGCCCCCCCGTGTTTTGACATGGGGCGTGATCGGCAGGTCAGGGTTCAAAGCATATTTGAACTATGCGGCGGGCGAGCCATGGCGCCAGACGTTCTCCCTGCTTCGGGGCGCGGCAGGTGGAAACGGCGAAAGGGTCGGCCCCCTACGACGTCCGCGACGTCAAGCAGAGCATCATGGACCTGCCTAGCCTGAAGGGCGGCCCCGCGCTGCAGCGGCCGCTGCCTGTGGCGCAGTCGCTGAGGCTTGGAAGGTGGCGGTCGACATGTCGGCGGCCCCGCTACTGCGGGTCTCCGAGGCGGCCCGGGCCCTGGGGAAGGCCTCCCAGAGGTTCAAGGATGGCGAGACGGTCCTCTTGCGCAAGCCCAAGGGCGACGGCAGCTCCGCGAAGCACGACTACCGCGCCATCAGCCTGATTGGCCTCGTGGGCAAGTCCTCTGCGCGGGCCGCCGCCCTGGACGCGCTGCGCGCCGTTGCGCATCGTGTCCCTCCCACGCAGTTCGGAGCCATGCCTGGGCGTGGCACCCGAGGCGCGGTGGCGATAACCTTGGAGGTAATCACTCGACACATTCGTGCTCATCGGGCCAAGCGCTGGGCCGCTCCTCCCCTCCTATGCCGCTGGCAGTACTGACCGACCTCGAAAAGGCATTCGACATGGTCAACCGTCATGACATCTGGACAGGGCTCGAGGATCTTCAAGTACGAGGGGGGCGCTCGCATGACCATGGAGGAGCTCCGCGACGGCATGTGCTACTTGTTCCGCGACGTGAAGACGCGGGGGTCTGCTGACAGGATATGGGTCAGAAGAGGTGTCCGTCAAAGATGAGTAGAGAGCCCTGGTCTCCTTGTGGTGGCCCACGAGAAGCTAGCGGCTAAGGTTGCGGAGGTCCAGGCTGGACAGAACTACGCGAGCGTCTCGGTCTACTTTGACCCCTCCCTCGAGCGCGTCAGAACCAATCGCGGCATGGAGGCCGAGGGCTGCGCCGCGGTCGACGCCAGCCGCCCCGAGTTCTTGGATGGCTTGTTGGGGCTTTCACCGAGGTTGAGGAATATGACGACGTCTCCACTTCCCTTTTTGAATCGCGAACAGCGAGATCGATCATGGTGGCGCGCAGGTGAACGGGGAGAAGACCGAACTTCTATCGATGCCATCAGGGCCCGCGCTATTGGTATTGTCACGCGGCGCGATGGCGGCTGCTTCCCCATCCACCCGCGGCCCGCTGTCAGATGCCACGGCGTCAAGCTGGCAGCCAATGGTAGCTGCCAGGTCGAGGTGGCCCGCAGGGTCCAAGCGGCGAGCTCAGCCCACTCTCGCCTGCAACGTCGTGCTTTCCAGGGGGGGCTCAGCTCCGAGCAGTCGCCGGCCCGCTCGGTTGGTTGATGCTGCCTCGAAGTCGCCCCTCTTTCCAAGCGCGAAGTGGCTCGCCTTGAGGCCTGGCAAGTGCGCGACGCCCGTGGGCTGCTACAATCGCCAGCTCGCCTCCTCAAGAGGACCAACCGCGAAATCAGGGGGCCACAAGTTGGCGGCTCACTCATTGTATGAGAATCCGACCGCGACGTTTCTATCCGATGACGATCTACGACAGAAGCGATGCTCTCATTGTCCGAAACGCATCACGAGAAATGATTCGCCCGTGAGACATATCAAACACGGTCGTTGCCCAGCGTATCGCATCGGCGTTCATGCTCAAAGTGAACGGGTAGCTGCCCCGTGCCGAGCCCTTCCAGTTCCAGCGGCTCCCGACGGGCAAGGCGATGTTCGAGCCGACGGGCGCGGGCTAG